CAGGAAAAAAGACTGAAACATAGAATCAAATGAGCACAAACAAATATATATATATATATATTTGTGCTCAGTTGGTACTATCATTCAGGATATATCGATGGACGTTTTTAGAAAGAGTTTGGACAGAAACAATTATTAAAGCCCCATTAGGGCCTATTTTCTGTTATTTTTATAGTGTAGTAGCAATAAGCATAATTTTTCATGGCTGTTCTTTACAGTGAACTTTTTGCGTACACATATTCGTTATTATTATAATAAAGTTAGAGAAATTAAGCCTGCTTCCTAATAACAGCAATCTTTGGTTGGTTCTTAATTCCAATTTCTGGGTTTCATATGCACCAAGCAGCTGCTAGATGCAGGAAGTTATACGTGTAAGTTTAAGTAAGAAATCAGAACAGTTATTTTTTATGAACTTCTATATCCAATATTTCCAGTACAGCAGCACCTGTGAACTCCACCTTCATTTTGGGGGGAATATCTGTTGTAAACCATAGGGCTAAGAACGGCTATGGTGTTTAGGTTTCTGCCACTTTTATGTAGTAAACCTACAGTAATGGGTGTGGAGAAAAGGACATGCACTTTGCAATTGTAGTGGTGATTAAGCAGAAGAAAAGATTATAAGAGAAAAATGCAGAGTAGTTTCAAAGCCAGCATTACTTGTTCTTATAGTTATTTTTAAAGAATATCTTAACAAAATGTCTGTTGTCACTGTAAGAAAGTTTTACTGCCTGAAGGTTATCAATAAGTTAACTCACAGATACCATTCTAAGTTACTGGAAGCAAAACTGAGTTTTTTTTAAAGTAAAGTTTTGGTGATTTATTGCATACATTATTAAGAGCTGAAAGATCTATTTTGTTTCCATTTATTTTCCAAATATGGACTTGGTTATAAAACTACAAGGATGGAATTCTGCCTGAATTTAATCTTTATTTTAATGCTAATTTTCGTTTTTGAGTTGGAGGACATGTTTTCTTCTGAAGCCTTCTGGAAAAATTTTATGTTGCAAGTAATTTTTATATTCTTTTTGCTTAACATTAAAATCTGTTTAAAAATAGAAGAAAGTAAAAATCTGTCAAAGCCATAGTACACTTTCATTGGAGTGATGCTGCATTAGTATATGGAGTGACCTATTTCAGCTCATTTCTTATTTTAAAAGTATCGTGAAAAAAAGAGATAAAAGGAAAAGTGTTAGAATGAATGCTTTTATTGACTAAAGTAAATCTTGAGGTACTGTAGTTACATATAAATTTTACCATCTACGTGTGCTCATTACAGGGGTATAGATAAGAAAGGTCACCTTAAACTCCTTCCTGTAAGCGTCAGTACTTGGCACTACTTAAAAAGAAATTTGAAGTACATTTAATATTGCAACGCTTTTAGATCCAGATACTATCCTCAGTTTCTTGTGAATTACTGCTCGATACTTAGTATGTGAGATACCGCAGCATCAGACTGCAGATGGCTTTGAAATCTTTGAAGTCTTTAATTTGATGCGGAAGGCAAAAGTGAATCAGGAGTGATACGCCCTTGTGAATCATTGTTTTTTGACAGGTAGCTGTCAGGTTAGTACTGCATTTTACTCTTTTTGGTTCACATTCATTTTTAATTACAGTAATCATTCTTTGGTAGTGATACAGATCAATATAACTACATCTGCCAGGATGAACTGTAAGCCCTGGGTTGGAATCAACTTTTTTGTCTTCCAGGCAAGATTAAGTTTCCCCAGTTGTCTGGTGCAATCTCACTGAAAGGGGATTTTCCCTATCAGTTACCTGAGGGATATGTTCCTATTCTGATTGTTTCAGTTCTTTTCAGTGGCTGATAAGTATACACATTGTAAGTCTGTATTTTTCCATAACCTAATCTGTGTGCAGCAAAAGTAACATTCAGAGCTTTAACACATCAAAACAAACAGTATTTGAAAATGTTATATGAAGTGTAGAGTCTTTGGAGACAGCTAGTGCCCTGAAGTCTACTTTATACAAAAGAGATTAACACCATTATTCTATGTATAATCTCTCCAGCAAAACAGTCGCCTATTTCTGTCAACAAATGGTTTCTTTGCTTTGGCAGCTGAAAGAAATTTTAGTTGTGTAGGCAACAGAACATGCCTTTATAAGTTGCAGAACCCAATTTTAAAAATATTTTGGAAGGTAACTGCAGTTTTGAGAAGTTAAATTATTTTCATTAACTAAATATTTTTTTAAACAAGCTAAAAAGACTAATTATGTCTGCTACAAGTGACACACTCATAATCCATGCATAAGGCAGGTTCACTATTTTACAGTACACCTTTTGGAAAGGTGTCTCTTGTGCACGTCCCATTGTTCCTTGCAGATGCTTAGCTGATTAAAAGGTCTTCACATATCCTATCCAGATAATGTGCACTCCAAGAGTACACTTTTTTCCTGACTAAAGGTGGAGATGAGCAGTGTTCTTACTGAGAGCCTGAGAATCCATAAAACTATTGTATACCAAAGAAAAGAAGATAAAGAGGCTCAAGTAAAGGCTTAATATTTCTAGAAGCCTCAGACCAAATAAATTTTGGAAAATTTGCAGGGAGAGGCGGGGGGAAAAGATAGATACCACAGCATTTCACTGTGTAATGAATCATAGAAGCCGTATTTCTAATGGAATTGAGTTATATAAGTCACAGTCAACATATGGAAGATTTTTAAAATTTATTTTACGTTAATAAATATATCAGTGCTCTTTTTCAAATAATTGAATTACATTACTAGTTAATAAATTATTATATTTTGAATAAAGTTTTACTGTTTTCCCCAATAAGTTTTTAATATAAAAATTAAAGCTAAGAAATATATACTTTAATAAATACTGCATTTTACTTGATTTTCTGGTTTATGGCAAAAAATAAATAAGAAGTAAACAATTTGCCAAATTTTGAATTTAGTATCCGAATCAAAGCTTCTGCTATTCTCAATTTCTTTACCTGGATGAAAGAATTACATCATCGTTCACAACTTCTGTTTGTAGAGGGTGAGAGACCTCGTGAGAGCAGAGCATTCGAACCTTCCTCACTTACATGACAGGGTAAATGCAGGTCTTGGGGCAGAAGTGGACGTGTGTGCAGATCCCTGTGCGGCTGGGAGCCGCTTCCCTCCGTGGTTACGTGGCTGGGCATGTGTGTGTGCTGTGGTGAGGGTGCTGGTGCCTCTGACATGTGGCATGCACAGACTGTGCAAACAGTTTCTTATCATTTGACTGAGCACACATGTGCTTGCATCATAGGACTGGATGCGATTTCTGCCATGTTGATGGATAGCTGTGTTTTGTTTATATGTGGGGAAGGATGGCAACAAGAAACAAGCCATTAATCACAAAAAACCTGTCATTAAGCCATCAGCTTATTTCTTGTGCACATCTAAGGACTGATGGGGAACAACCCCATGAAAATTGTCTCAGGACCTGTCCTGGTAACAGTTATAATGACCTTTCCCTGTGTTAATTTTTAGTTTGGTAGTTTACACTTTGTAATTACAAAGCACAGATCATTGAAACAAATTGTAATGTTAATCAGTAAGTCAGCATACAAGAATGCAAAGAATCAAGTCTCTCCTTGTATACTAAATGAAAGATTTCTTCCAGATTCTTGCTTTGATCATTGGACTTTTTTAAATAAGCAAACATTACTTAGTTGCTAAGCCACAGACTGAAGTTCATTAGTGTGTTAACACAAATATTGGAAAAAGAATACTAAACCAATATTAGATAGAGGACCTGTGCGTAGGCTGCAAGTAATGTAATGAATGTGACACCAGAACATTTTGAAAGATTGCTCACAGTGATTAAAACCATTTCTGTTTGCAAAAACCCACCCCACTCAGCAAGGAAAAGTGCAAATCCTGAGTAGATCTGTTTTTCTGCTACTGATATCTGTAAGACTTTACTGAAAGTACAATAGATTTAATAGTCTTACAGATAATTTTGTGTATATTCTTTATTTTAAATGTTGACCAGATGTATTGATGTGGCATTTTTTTGTCTAATGGTGATCCTTAAAACTGGTTTTCATTAGAATGCTTTTAACCATAGATTGAAAGCCAGAATGCCGTCTTATTTAAATTGCCTGTTTGGGAACCGAACTCAAAATCTTCACAAATCAGTTTTGGATTCATAGATATTTCAGGTTTAATGCATAAATGCAGTGTTTTAACACAGTGCCTTTTTTCTGAGGCTGTTGAACTTTACAAGAATTCATGCTAGTTTGGAATTTTTTGATGTTCAGTTTATTATCTTAAGCAAATGAACTAACAGTTCATACTTCTGCGTTCTTTACAGATCTTCAATACAGTGAGAGAAGAAGAAGAAGGAGCAGAAGATATTTTTGAATATTTTCCTCATCTTCTGAGAAAGCTCCCAACGTTTGATACAGACTGTCTATGCAAAGGTGATGGTTTTTGTGTAAAACCATGCGTAACAGGTGCTTACTGTCAATATCGTGCCACTTTACAGAGGACTGCACTCTCTAACTATGTAACTGGTGCTTTACTAGAAGCAACTACATCATTAGGTGCAAGAAGTGGTCTTTTGAATATCTTTGGAGGATCAACTGGAAGAACAATGCTTAAAGGTAATGAAGATTTAATTTTTTGAACCCTGTCCTCTTTAAGTATAGGGTGTATTGCAAAATATATAATACTATATAATATTCTGTAGTTTATATACTCATATATAAAGCTAACAGATAAAAAAGGTTTTCATGTTTTCAAAGATTTTCCTTTGCAATCATTATGTGTCATAATGACTAGCTATGTTAGTTTAATAAAGTAAAAATGCATGCAAAACTGAAAAGATTCTTATTACAAAACAGACACCTTTTCAGTTTTATTTTCTTTTTAGAAATGTTCCTGTCTGCATCCAAAGTTAATGCCTAAGCCATTGTTGTTAGGGAGTTCCTTTGTATAGTATTTCTCATTTACCGAGCACTCCTGCTCATGGGCTGACTTGGTTCAGGAATTGAGAAAGGAGAATATACTCTACTTGGTAATTATTGTCATTATACAACTAGCTGTCAGCATAGCACTGTGTGGTAAGTATGTACAATTCATTAGTGATTTATTGTTGGTCTTCTCCTGGATCCATCATCTTTCTAGTATTGGATCATTTCAAATAACATGGGTATTGTCTGTGTGGAAAATGCCTGTTGGAGGATGGATGTTACATACTAACTTCCCATGCTGATCATCTTCTTATGCAATAAGAATACCATTATGTGATTTAGTTTGGTCAGTTTTGGAAGTTAAACAGGACAAAGGCATTCTTGGTATAAATTCATTGCATTAAAACAGGGTTTTGTACAGAACAGTAACTGCATTTTAAATTAATTTTAATTAATTAATGCCTAGAATATTTCCTAAGGTACTCAAGCATTTGGGGATTTATCATTATCTGATACACTGTAACAAAAGGATGTAGTATCTCAGTTGTACAATTGTAGAACTGAAGCATGCGGATATTACGGCTTGCCCAAAATTTTACAGCAACATGACAAAATCAGTACAGAATTCTCAGTGCAGTTCCTTAACTAGTGCAGATACTGACCTAATTTTCACAAATAATTATATAGTTTGTGCTCAGATTAGGTTGTCTTATTTTTATCCCAAAGAGTGTCCCTTTCTAGTTTTAATTAGTCTCTCTTTAGGTGAACCAAATGGCAGAGGCGCACTAAAATGGTAGAAGAACAACAGGTACAGATGGCAAACTGTAGCATCTGAGTGAATTTCAGTAGTATGTTGAGCAACAATACTAAGCTTCACATACCCTCATCGTCTGTGAGACAAAGATACGTACAATACAGTGTCCTATTTTGGTAGGGTTTTTCCTTTTTTTGTTTGGTTTTTATTTGTTCTGGGGGGATGAGTGCTTTAGAAAAATAAACATGTACATTCCTGCGACAGCTCTGGAAAGCAAGGTTGAAAGAACTGAGTCATGTACTTGGTGGTGCAGTGTGGTAGACCTTCTTCCTACAGAGTGGGAGAAAAGAGCATAGGGTTTTGATGCCCCAGACCTGATCAAGACTCTAAGGATGTTCTGTCCCCTGAGTACAAATGTCAGCCTCCCATGGGGCAAGTTGCTGCAGTGCCTGAAAAACCCAGCTGGCAACTGTCACCATAGAGCTGCTGAGTTCTGAAGCTGGAAGCAGCAGCAGCAATTAGCTCAGGCTCACTGACATGCTGATATGGCTGTATCTTTTTATAGAGCCTGAGCTAGTGACTGCACATGTGTGCTCTGTGTACCAGCACACTTTGCACTAGTTTGGGGATCTCTGCGGTGCCCATATTGTATGGTGTATGCTTCTGTTGTTGTATTCTGAGCCCAAGCAAGTGAGACCTTAAAGAAAAGGCAAAGATCTTGAACTTGATTTGCAATTCCACAGACAACCTGTGTAAATAGTAAAGATTTGATTTACTGTAGTGGTTTAGGTATGACTTACTGTAGTGGTTTCTGTTGAGGAAGAAATGTGCTGCGGCTTCAGGATAATGAAGTTTTCTGGATGTGGAAGGTTCGTGTTCAGGTATATCACGGTGATTTAATATGTCTGAGAAATGACGAAGGTATCAGTAACAGAGTCCTCTCTAAAAACATTTAGAGTGTTACTTGGCGATGTTACTAACTGATACATTAGCATTAGCAAGGAACCCAACAGTATTCTGAATTCAGAGCTGTGGTTATCATTCATGGGTGTGTACCTTTTAAGAAAGAAAATCGTCCTGTCCATGCAGATTGATAAAAAGTTTCTTTTCATCTGTCCAACATCCTCTCTTACTGCTGGATTTAACTTCAACCGTAAGCTAATCTCATCTAAACCTGATAACTTTCAATTGGCATCGATAACAACTCTGTCAAATGCAGTGGAGGATTTATCACAGGATACAGCATGTCTTTGGAACACTTCACTTAGTAGTTATTTGGAGGTGTTGAAAAGGGAATATATTGGTCCTGGTCTGGTTTAATAGTTGTTGTGGTTTAATCCTGGTAGGCAGCTAAGCACCACGCTGCTGCTCGCTTACTCCCCCCAGTGGGATGGGGGAGAGAATCGGAAGGGTAAAAGTGTGAAAACTCATGGGTTGAGATAAAGACAGTTTAATAGGTAAAGCAAAAGCCGCGCATGCAAGCAAAGCAAAACAAGGAATTCATTCACTCCTTCCCATGGGCAGGCAGGTGTTCAGCCATCTCCAGGAAAGCAGGGCTCCATCATGCGTAACGGTTACTTGGGAAGACAAACGCCATCACTCCGAACGTACCCCCTTCCTTCTCTTTCCCCCAGCTTTTATTGCTGAGCATGATGTTGTATGGTGTGGGATTTCCCTTTGGTCAGTAGGGGTCAGCTGTCCCGGCTGTGTCCCCTCCCAACTACTGTGCACCCCCAGCCTGCTCGCTGGTGAGGCAGCATGAGAAACAGAAAAGGCCTGATGCTGTGTAAGCATTGTCCAGCAATAACTAAAACATCCCTGTGTTACCAACACTGTTTTGGTCACAAATCCAAAACATAGCCCCATGCGAGCTACTATGAAGAAAATTAACTCTGACCCAGCCAAAACCGGTACAATAATGAAGGTGATATTTCCATCAGCACTTGTGGCTTGTAGCCCTCTGGAAACAGTTCAAACTGTTGTGCATTTCATCTGGGCCCTACCACCCTTTCTCAGACAAGATAGCAGTATATCTAAGTTAAAAGTATCATATGTTGCAGAGAGACGAAAATAAATATTTGCTTTGACAGTCAGAGGTTGTGAGTGCCCATGTAGTAATTTCAGTGCTGTGCACTGCCCTGAATTAGTATCAGCAACAGGAAATTAGTATTATGTCTTTTAGTTTGGCTTTCTTCATGTTGCTCAGCCTGTTGAAGAATGGAGGGAAGACCTCTTCTCTGATTTTTTTCTACTGTTTTGATCAAGAATAGCAAATGTTTCTTGTTACTGTGTTTCACAAGCTGTGACAGGACAGGTTTTCAAGTGTTGGCTTGCTTCCACAAAAACTTCAAGCATAGGTTCTCAGGTCTTTGTATTTAATATATTTATTTTTCAGTTTTTGTATTAGAACCTGTCTTACAGTTTTTCCTTTAAAATTTTACTTGAAAAACGATTTGCAATGTAGGAAGACGTCATAGTGCAGTTGAAAGTCCAAACATAAAGATCCTGATGGAAGCGCAGGAGAGTGGTGATGTGATGTTCATTTCTTTCAGAAAGAAAGAAATTATAGACTTCAGGTTTGTGCAGGATAGTGCAGTGTAGACACATGACCTTTTGCTGACTCATTCGAATCTGGCTGGAGTATTCTCATGATGCAGAGAAATCCCCTATAGTGGTTGGTTTGAAAACAATATAGGCAGCCCCAGTTAATAATCCTTCAAAATACAACCCTTTCTGGTGATGGCAGTAGCTGAGATGGTGGTAGTTTGAGCATCATTGCACCGTACTTCACTATACAGAGGTAGGCATGCCCAAAGGCAGCAATTATATTGATTACTTGAAATAAATAAAAGGAACCACTAGCAAATGAAAATGTGAACACCAATAGCACTGACATATAGAATGCATTATGAAGACAAAAGATTATATAAATTTATTTTAAACTATCATCAAAAGTAATTTGCAATGTTATATAAGCATAAATAAAAGAATTTTTAAACTATCTAGTTACTGTTCTGCCACTCAGAAATTTGAACTCAAACTTCCTTTGTGTCCTATAAATGTTGTAATACCTAAAAACATTGTAAATAAAAGCAGGAAGAAGTGGTGAATTATTATGAAGTAATTATAGTAAAACATTTTTGTGGTGGATCCAGTTCAACAGATCTTGCGCTACATAAAGATGCTATTGAAGACTTGCTGTATTGCATGTTACTACTTAGTGTTAGACAATGATGAGTACTGTTGCGTATTAGAGTAAAAGTTTACACATCTGAGGCTCTGAACTGATGATGAGTGGCAATGCCAGTGTCAACTTTCATCACCTCTCTCAAGAAGAGAGAGCACCTGGGTGTCTGTTCCTAGAAACTGATTTCACTTCAAAAAGTCCTGTAAAAGAGGGGAACAATAAGGGGCAAAGTCACCTTGGCCTAGTATTGCCGCCGAGTGCTTCATTTTGTCAAATTGTGTCCTGAGTTAGAGATCTCTAAATTGCCTTAGATATTTGTATATGTATTATGCATTTCAGTTCAATGAGTTAAGAGGGCTTCATCAAAATGTTTGCCCATAACATAGCCAAAACACAACTGTGTTTAAAATGTGCTGTGATTAATATTTTAGTTTTTAATGTCTGTATACATTGTCATGTATTTTACTTAAACATATCATTTCCTTTGTGCGGGCACTATGCAAATATATTCTTAAGTGTAAGAGGATTCTATTTTTATTTGATTGAAAAATATGGATTATCTGGGTAATTCTAGTTTTATTTTGTAAAATGTTTGGGAGTAGGAGGGTTGTATATGCATCTTACTCCAAAATTACCAGTGACAAATGATTTGAAGAAAAGAGGTCTTTTAATGTATATGGAGCAAGATTTAGTTTAAATGAGTTATCTTGCAAGTAAACATAAAATTGTAGGCTTCAGTTTACTGGCTTT